TGTATCCAGGTAGAGGCAGAGGAAGGAGGAAACAGCAGACACAGGACTGCATATCTCCATTCACAGTGCTATGGATCTGATTCCCTTTCACAGCTAAATGAAGCAGCAATTTACTATGAATAGCCACAGGACTGTGCTGATAATGTGCTATTTTTTTGCAGGGAGGGTATTTTGTAGATTTTTTTGAGCACCCTGTGATCAGTTCTGTGTGCTGTCCCAATGAGTTGCTTTACAAGCCTGTGGCATGAACCCTACYACAGGGCAAATACCAGAGGAGGCCTAGCAGAGCCCAGGGACAGGAGGGAAAAAATTCACCTATCCCAAACAACCACCCGGCCCTTAATACTTCTCCCGGACCAGCCAAAGTGCAGACTTATCCACAGGAACACCATGCACAGAGCAGGTTCCCACCCGGCCCCCTGAAAGGGCACTTGCTCCAGACTCCAGAGCACAAGGAGCTGCTCTCTCTGCTCCAATCAATGCAAGACTGTCACAGTGATCACCCCAGACATCTTGGAAAAAACAGCATGAGGAAAGACATCCCCTCCAGGAAGCACCACAGAGGCCACCTGGATGGGGTTCCTGCAGCGGGACACCTGCAGCCAGCCGAGGTGGGCAGGGAGGGTGCTTCCTCATTGGAAAGGGGATCGTGCTTCCTCATCTAGATCGGTTAGAGCGGCTGGATGGAGGAGCCTACGCAGCCTTACATGGACCCCTGAGGTGTCCCTCTACTTGGGACCSTCCACCAGCCTTCTCCAAGCTGTGCCGGGGTCCGCAGCCGCCCTTGAGGACACCCTTGCAAGGCTGGGCAGCCGGAGGACTTCCCGGCAGTGCTCGCCAAGCAGAGGTTCAAGTGCCATCTAGTGGCATGTAGGACCAGCATGGGACGCAGCGCGGTCCCACCCTGTCAGCTCCCATGTCCAGCACCAGAGCAGGGGTGATGGGGAAAGGCCAGGTCCCTTTCAGTGGGGCCTTGTGCGAACTGCAGCACGGCAGGGCTGTCCTCTGAGGCAGCAACTTGCCACCGGTGGCAAGGGGGATGGTTGCACAAGGGCATCGTGCGCCCTGCTCCTGGGTGCTTGCGCGGCCACCTCTGCACCCTGTCCCCACCGAGGTGACACTGCTGATCTCCGCACCGAGGCGCAGCGGGGACCCGCAGGCCTTGCTCACGGCCTCCCACGGGTGGCCTCCCAGGCCTCATCAGCCACGAGAGCCACGAGGGGGCTCCAGGAGCCTGTCGGACACTGAGCACAGCGCTGGCAGCGGCACCAGGTGCCGGAACCGGCCTCTCCTCCAGCRGAGAGGTGGAAGGGAGCTGGGGGAATAAATGCACATCTCCATGAGCGAGCAGGGTACTTGCCAGGGTACTTGCCCCTGCTGCACAAGTCGGGCCAAGAAGCAGTGCCCGTGTGGCAATGGACCCAGCACGGGCACGGGGAGCAGCTGTGGCACTGGGCTGTGCTGGTCTGACCTTGGCACGGCAGGATTATGACCCCTTGCAAGACGCAGATGGTCAGTGTGTGATCATCTACTCCAGCAGCGGATTCACAGTGCTGTTTTGTTCCTGCACGGCCAGATTTATGTCCCACAGCTGTTTTATCTTGGCCTAACTCTGCTGAGTTTATGGGTGTTATCTGTAAGAGGTAAATCTGTTCAGGCATTAAAGAAAAGCCTTGGAGAGCACTGCTAGGTTTACTAGGTGGTCTATGTCATGCAAACCAATTCAGCTCCAGGGATGATCTCTTCAAGGATGGGATCAGCCTGTAAGAAAGCAGATCCGAATCCACCTGATGGTTTGTCACAGTTTAACCCAACTGTCCCATCAACAACATGGGAAGAGAACACCGCTGCCTAAAGATTCAGCATGTCTGCTTCTGTTATTGGTGGTGAGACCTCAGATAATGTGTATGCAAGGTAGGGACAAGACTCAGCATCTCTGACATAATTGACATAGCTGTTAATAACCCGTATTCTAGGCAAAAAGCAAGTAAAAGTGTTCCAGGTCAGAGTCAGCTTGCCATTTCCTATCACTGGAGTACCCACTAATGCCACAGCAGGGAACAGTGAGTCCAACAACCATGTTCCAACAAGAATTTTGTCCTCCAAGTCCTTTTTACCTGCAGGATTTTCTGATAATGTATCTTGTCTTAAGCTTAGTGAGAACAGGAATGAGGATAAAACAAGCTGTCCTCCCCCAAGCCACTCACTATTCCCGATTCGTTGAACACGAGCCAACCTAAAACTGTTTACAAGTTTCTTTTTCATTCGAGTTCTGCTTTAAAATGTAAAGCCCTTTCCCTCACAGAACCTCTCAGACTGTGCACCTCCATTTGATTTACTTCACTTGATTTTATAGCAAGGCAGGGGGTTAAGGAAGGACTGTCCTTTCGAGGGGGCCTGGAGAGCAGGTCCAGAGCGCAGTGCAAGCCCGTTGCTGTGCGCACTGCAACTCAAACAGATTTTCCATCTTCCCTTTGCTGGTCCCTTTGCATCTGCCCCACAAGCAGATGCTCCAGCACAAGGGCTATGTTGCTGCAGCACTAGGAGACAGCCACAGGCAGGAGTTACCTCTGCTTTCTGCATGCCCCGTTTCAGAGGCTCCTTGAGCAAGCAGGCCTTTTTGACTTCACCAGCTCAAGCCATTTCAGAGTAGCAGCTTCAGCACAGACCTCAGGCCGACAGGTCTCCACAGAGCCCCAGATCCTGGTTCTCCACCCCACTAGCAGGGGTGGACAAGAGGGGAAAGCGCAGGCTAGGCATCTATCCCTGGTTTTGTCCCCGACCAACGTGTGCCGCAACCTGCAGAGTCTTGGGCACCCTGTCCTGAAGGGGATGTCTGGACAGCCTGCGCAATGGGGAGGTCGAAGGGAGAGAAGAGCTGCACTAAGTGTTTCCCATCGCTAAAGCCCTTCTGCATGATGGTCCCAGAGAAACACCATGTACAGCCTAGCAGGAAATCAGTCCCAAGGCTGTACGCTGTACAGTGTTCATCCTCGTAGACTCCTGTAAGGTCAATGTGGATGCTTTAAGCCCATGCTACACCTAGCAAGACAGACTGAAAGCACCTGGAACTTGTGCTGCCACTGTGTGTGTCCCAGGCAAGCCTTTGCAGTGTAAAAACAGGCTTCGATGCTCCGAGATTCAGCTTGAAAGAGGCATCAGCACCTTCCAGTGTCCTCAGTAGCAAAAGGAAAATCGCTTCAGAATTAAAGTTGCTTCTGAATTACAGGAGCAATTTCAGAAAGCTATAGAAGATTGTCRCGGTGGAAAAATGGGGGTATGAAGGACCCACCCTGCAGAACAGACAAGGAAAAAATAGATCACAATGTGTTAATGTATTCAGAGCTTAGACAAGAGCAAACTTGCTTGCAAAAATAAACTCTTGCATTTGACACATTGCTTAGATATTAATTAGTTTGATCAGCTTGCCTAGGTGTGTTAACAGGAGTGAGAGTCGGTGCTTGTACAGTGATAAGCTGTTAAAACCCCGTAAGCAGAGATATGAATACTGGCAGACACACATCTTGCCTTGATGCAGAGCCTTTCTGCTCTTYTCCCTTAAATCTTCTCCACTCCTATTTTTCTATTTCACTCAGCTTAGTCTCCCAGGTACCGTTTCTTCCCCAGTGCAGAACCAGAGACCCATAAGAGCAAGCAAAACAGCTAAAGCGGCTGTGCAGAAAGCCAAGGAGCTGCCAGCCCCCAAAGCACAAGGGCAAAAATGGAAAAAGGAGAAAACTCTCTCCCCTGTTTCCATCATTCCCTTTCCCTCCTAACTTTTGTAGGGGTTTATTACTAGGAGGGGTTCATAGACACCCCAAACACAAGTGGGAGGCCTGAATTAACATTGCCCCTTTAACAGCAGAGCCACAGCCTGACATCAGAGGGCTGGGGAGTCCTGGGAGCCTTTGGAAGCGGTGCCAACAAATCCTTGTTTCCCTGCCGCTTTGCTGCTCTTGTTTGTGTGTGCATTTTAACACGCTGCATATGTAGCCGTGCCTGCCAGGGGATGTCTGCAGGGTTTGCATTAAGCAGCTCAAGACGAGTCTGGTAAACAGCTATTAAAGTTCCGCTCTTGGTGTCTCGGAGGGTGTCGCTTCTGGACGAGGGAGTCGCTCGCATCTCTGGTTCCCTGCAGGCTGTTCCCTGGTTTGCAACCCAAATGGATTTCTCTTCCTCATAGTTATGCAGACAAGTGGGGTTCTGCTTTGTTTGTTTCTGGCATAGGGAGGGGAAGCAAATCTCCCGTGGCTCAGTGGGGAGTGCTCATGTTTTTTACTGTTTCTTTGATAGGAAGGAGACAGGCTCAAAACCTGTAGCTCTAATGTTTAAGCCCTCAGTTGTGAGCAGAGCTAGCACCTAAAACTGAACTTTTGCCTGGGAACAAAATGCTGAATCCAGTAATTCCTGAGCTTTGCAGGAGGTTGAAAACTAGCTTTTTTTCTCCTTCTCCTTTTTTACTCTTCTTTTT